GAAAGATTTTATAAAATAAATTTGACTCGACTCGACTCGAAAAAAATGAGTCGAATAGAGTTGGTCTTTAAACTCGATTCGACTCGACTCATTCAGAACTCTAAGTAACATGGCGTCATCAAGATCGTCCTATTTCTGCTGGATTTTATTAAGGAATACATTATAGATAATTTTTTTTTTTGCTATTAAATACTTAATCTTTTTTTCAACCTTTCTCTTTAATACAGCCCATATATTTTTAATAGGATTCAAATCTGGGCTGTATGAAGGCCAAGAAAGAACTCATCCTGAAAGATGTTTTTTTAAGTCCTCTTGAACATTATGTGAGGTGTGTTTTGGATTATTATCTTATTGGAAGACCAGCCACGTCTGTATAATATAACTGCATTATAATACAAATGGTCATCTAAGATTTTTCAATACAAATAATGATCCAAATTTTTAGTAAATAAATGAATACTGATTTTTCCTTTAGTATTAATTGCTGCTCAAACATAAACCTTGAATGAGTGCTTTACCATAAGGGCAATTGGTTCTACATTATAAGACCATGCAAATATGGTATTTCTAAACATCTGAGTGTTGTTTTATCAGAAAAATAACTTTTTTTCTAGTTGTATTACGAATGATCACGTGTCTAAGATAAACAAAATTCCTTCACTTTTTGGGTCACAAGAGGAACTTTTCTTAGAAAAATAGAAACATATCCAAGATTGTTGAGCTCACAACGTATTATATGTTTACTAACATCAAGGTTGAGATTTTTTTTTTCAATTTTGCCTTAAGTTCGCCTGCTATAGTAAAATGATTATATTGCAGAATTTTTTCAATATGACGGTGTTGATTTGAAGCTAATTTTCTTGGACAGCCAGAAGAGTGACCAATAGAAATTTTGCTAGTTTTATTTAGTAAACTGACATATTATTTATATATGTGTAAAAGAATGCACAATCAATTAGAAATTTTCTTTGCATTACGCACTTTTTAGTCTCAAAGTGACTTAACAGAATTTCTTTGTATTTTTAAAAAGCTTAGCATAGTTTCGAAAAGGAAATCAAAATAAAAATAAATAACAAATCTTATTTTTTTAACTTATCTTTTTAATTCAGATTCTAATATATAATTTGGGTATATAAACAAATGCCTAAATCTAAAAGGTGGTAAAATCACTACCTAAATAGATGCAGTCTTTCACCGCTATTTTTTCACTAGGAACTGTATATGAGAAGCAGGTTATGTGTAATGATTTGATATCTGTATGATAAAAAACCAATATTAATGCTCAGTATTCTCTTTTCCGAACAGAAATAAAATTTTATTTCACTCCAGAACATAACACTATTTTTGTCCAAACCTAATATCCCTATAAAAATGTAATGCTATATCTAAAACTAGTATACCTTATACTCCAGCTTTCACTATTACCTTTGGTAACAATGAGACAGTCTCGCTGGTAGATAAAATTAAAAAATATGACATAACTAAGCTTATAGAATATTTGCAAGAGCAGAACTTAGGGCTTAATGAAATGGTTATCAAAATTTTAAAGAAGGAAGAGCTTAATGGCGGAGACTTCTTTAACATAACGGAAGAAAAGTATATGCAAAATGGTTTAGCAAGAAGACCTGTTATAAGACTCATGAAGTTCGCTAAGGAGTGTAAGTAAGGATAAGAAATTGAGAACCTTTTCAATATACTGCAGTTTGAAAGAAGTTCTGGTAAAATATAATATTAAATCTAATAGCACAGACGTCATCCCACTTTTTTCACTACAAACTCTCAAGATTTAAGATTCCAATAAGCACTTAGGACATTATATGAAGAATATTTTGTTTAGGATGAAATATTATGAGTTTTTAGTTGTAGATAGCTTAGAGTCTATGCACAATAAATACATTTCGACCATACTTTATACAGCTTTCCATATTGCAAAAGATAAAACAAGTAAGGAATTTAACATGAGAGTCTGAATTTGAAATAATTGGGGAAGAGAGTTCTGGCTGAATTAATTATGCAATAACAGTATGTGAATTTTTTCTTAACATTTTTCATTCATATTTTTTAAGTATGAACTAATACTATACCTACCTTTCAGGAATCAGAAAACCTTATTTGTATCACTAAGGATAAGGTTAGCATAATATTCTCAAAGGTTATATTTAAAATATAAAACAGCTTGAGAGCTCTCATAAAACAAACAGGAGGGGAAAACGAAAATGTAAGGATGATAATTTTGATTATCTGTATGATATTATGACTATTATTAGGGATTATCATTTCCTACTTTATAGTTTGTGTGAAATTTCTCAGGCAAGTAAGCTTCTGCTTGCTATTAAATTCAACAAAAAGGTCTTGATCAAAGATTTTGAAGAATATAAAACATTACATAGTAGCATAAAAAATATCTTAGGTATAGTAGTTGGAATATTAGTAGATAAGGCAAGTGCGAAAGATGAATCTCAAAGAAAAAAGCTAGGGTAGAGAGATATTGATCGAAAAAATAATCATATATATTAGTCTAGATATTATGTATCAGTTATATTACAGGCTATGTTTTAAACTTTATATTTATTTTTCACATGTATTAATAAAAAATTGAATTTTACAGGTATATATGATAAGCAAAAAAAAATATAGTTATGAGATGAGAATTCTGTAGCTATTTACAAATTTATATTATGTTCACATTTTAACTGAGTAGCTGTATTAAAGCTAATACATACTCTGGCTTTAAAATATCTGTTTTTGTAAATGTGTTATATAATGCATTTGGTTTATATCTTGAAAGTATTAAATTTAGATTATGAAAAAATTTCATAAGCACTTTGTTCCTTCAAGTTTTCATCTCTTCTTACTTTCAAGTTATTCTTATTAATGTGATCAAGTTATCATTGGAAAAATTCATTCAGATTAAATTCTAAAATGAGGATTATTTATTTTTTCAAGTGTAAATAAACTCATTCCTCTTATAACCGCAGATTCTATACTAATAGAAAAGTTTTTACGAATATTTGCTCTACTAGCTAAGACAGATAAAGGTGAAATTAAGACTGGATAATAAAAGTTGGCTAAGGGATTCAGCTTAAATTTACCTACATATATGATTCTAATGTCTTCTAAATAATCTGAGAGTTTATTAACATATTTATAGTCTTCATAAATTAACTTTTGAAATACTTTCTATTTGGATCGATCTATCAGCCAGTTAAAATGTTGAGTACTATTTTTTTATGTCTATAGATAATAGTTTATATTATAGTATATGATTAATCATTTACGATATATTTTTTTCATCACAATTCAATTAGGACTTTCTTATTTTGAAATTTGAATTCTATAATGTGAAAGGTACAAAAATATAATAAATGGATCATCTTATCTGTTCCCATATTAAAAAAGATGGAAGTGTTTGTGGTTATGTTTACACTTGCTTAGTGAGATGTTCACTTTATTAAAAATCAAGTACAAATAATATGCTAAAATCTCTATATAGAATATGCAATAAATCTATATCATCTTATATAGGCTATTGCTTTAAGCATGTCAAAAAAATTTATCATCGTCTCGAAAGAGAGAGACAATGAATAAGTTCCTTGACTTAAGTCAAGTATCTACTTATATGATGATCGTAAACCCTATTAATAAAAAAATTTTTTTGGCAAAAGAAATCTGCATTTCAAATTGAAATGAATACGTGACTTTTTTTATTTTAAATGTTTGTATAAAAGTGTTATTAAAGATAGAATCTGAAATTGATTTACTTAGGCAAGAAAATGTCAGACTTATGGTCAAGAATTATAAGCTCGAGGTTGAGATCATAAAGCTGAGTCAGATTATTGAGAAGAATACTAGATGTAATGTTAGGATCAAAGAATTAGAGTAAAAAAATACAGAGCTTGAGACCAAACTTGCATTATTGGAACAGGCTTCTTTGATAGTGAATAGATAGCCACAAAATAATAATGAAATGATATCAAAGGGATTATCAAAGGTATTCATACTAGCTGTTGATATATCTGAATTTGTAGTAGACCAGCAAAATAATGTTGATACCAAGTTAACGGAGGATAAGATAATCGATGATTATTTGTTTAAATAAACACTAATATCAGAGGTGTTACCAGAGATAATTGATATATACAATATTTGCCAAAAGCAAACCCAGCTTGAGCAGTATAAGCCTAATAGCAAAACAAATAATACGGTATTAGAGGTAAGTGTGTTTACCAGCCTTCCATTTTGTAAAGAGGATAGGGAGACTGATGAATTCTTAAACACAATATATAAAAAGAAGGTTGGCGATAAGATTAAGCAAAAGAAGTAGGAGAAGAAACTTCAAGATAATTCGTTATCAGAGGTAACTTTTCAGAAAGAATCAGATTCAGAAACACTCGTAACTTCTTTAGACTCTGTTATTTTCTTGAATAAAAAAAATGGACAGGGTTGTTCTTCTTTTCCTCAATCAGAGATTTCACAAGATAAGAAGAATACTCAGATTTTAGAAAATTCTAATAACAGTCTATCATCTAAATCATATAATACTTCTTCTAGCTTCAAATGTGATGAGAAGGTAGGAAAAATTTCTTATAATTTGAAAGTAGAATAAGACTTGAGAGAAGAGTTATCTACTTATATAGAAAGCAAGGGATCAGCTTTATAAAGTAAAAATAAAATATTTGATATACAGATTCCTGAATTCTCTTTAGAAGAAATTCTGACAGGATTAATAAAGTTACATCACAAGTCATAGTTGATCTATTTAATATAGCAATAAAGGCTAGACAAAAGGAGATCTTATACTAGTATTGTTACTATAAGGCATATAAAGATCAAATTAGAATGTTAAATCTAAAAATGGTATTGATAACAAATCAGTAAGAACATTGATGTATAGTGAAATCAAACTCCTTCTTCCTAATATTACTGATGTAAACTTGTGTAAAATAACTTTTAAGCTAAAAAAATCTATATATTGTTTGATAGAATAGGAATAAATAGAATCCAAATAATTAGCTATAACGCAAATGCCATCTCAAATTTATCTGATAATCAGATTTAGGACATTATAAATGATTTTCTTCTAAAAGCTACCAATACGAATGATGTAGATTATGATGATTCTATTCTAAATTGAAACGGACAAGTGACTTTAAAAAACCAATAAAATAGAGATGCAAGTGACAACTGCACCTCAGCCAACCTATGACTGCGTTTATTTTCGCAACAAAGCATTGGATCAATATCCTAATTTATATAGAGAATTTATTAGTGAAAATGTTGATTATTATGGAATTACTGACGAGACTTCATGTTTATTATGCAAGTTAAATCATAATGATGAGGAAGATATAAAAGGTATATGAAGCCAGATCCTATTTTATTAAATGTGAATAGCATGAAATTGAGATAGTTGCATAATCTCACTGCCCTTTCTTATACCATAGATACTTTGAAAGATGGCCTAACTATTTTCTTGGAAATATGATAAAAAATATTAGTAAGCTTTCTATCAGGGAATTTTAATCTTTTTTTTGAATGAATATGAAAATAAAAGGGATTTAAACTGACTCACAATCATAAAATTTAGACATGACCAGGTCCGATAAAATATTAACTCCTGAATACCTGGATTGGCATGTCAAATTAACTGGATTACCAAGTGTTTTGACAGATAGGATTCGGTCCAGTTTATACAAAAAATATAAAAAAGAAACTGAGCATGAGCCATGGCAATTATCAGAAGTACATAAATCGGAAGTCATAAATTCAAAGCCAGAAAACAAAGTATCCTATTTATCTTTTCTGGGCAATGTGAAAAAGAAGGGCCTATCACTTTTGAAGTCAAACCCAATCCAGAATTAATTATCAAAAGCATTTCACATACTTGAAATTCGGAAATAGTTTCAGAGGTATTGATAATTATGATTTTACATCACCTCAGCCGTGGAGCTCACCATGTCCTATTTGCGATGGAATACATGGGAATTATGGATTACATTGCTCATGGTACTGCGAAAATGGGAATTAGCAAAGTTGTTATCCCAAGATAAGTTGGAATATTTTCTTACCTGCAACACTTCAAGCAATAAACTTAAGTTTGCAATTGTAACATAGTCTGGTCATGTGGACCGACACCTGAAATGCGCAGTACGATATCGGGAAAATTACATTTTTTTTCGTGTAAGTGGCTTATGCAAAAAATCTATTGCAGTCATTAAACATAGTAAAGTAATTTATTTACTACATCAATAAAGAATTCAGCTAACATTGTATCAAGAATATTTTCATGGGGTAAGTGATGTATATGGTGAATAAAAGAAAGAAGTTCCACTTGGATTAAATATGTAAATAGTAGGCTGTACCGCGTAATGTTGGAGTCAGGTGATTTCACAAAATGACGTATATATTGACTAATTGGATAATGATCCAATCAAAATTGTATACGTTACACGCATCAAGTATAAATTAGACTTTTCTTATACTCACTTCCTTAGATTATACTTTTCTCTTACTCTCTCTTCCTTAGAAGTTAAATCATTGATACTTAAATATGGTGAACGGAAACCACGAAAACAATGAGAATAACGAGAACAACGAGAATACTTACGAAGGTAAGATTGTTGTGCATATAATAGTTTTCCGGTTTATTCAAGTTTATTAGTGACTAACACTTCCGTTTCAGAAAACGGTAACAATATACCCTATCATCTAAAAAGAACTTATGAGAGTCTAACTAGAAGGCAGAGAGAAATTTATGATGATTTTCCCTCTCGTGATGCAAAAATTCTTTATTTAGAAGGGCTTATCGAGGAGAGGAAAAAATCAGTATGTATATATAGAATACTCATATATGTTGTCAAAGATGTCAATACTTCACTATAATTTGTAATAACATTAGTTTTTTCGTCGGATTTTCTTTTCCACGAAACCCCATAGGAAATTGGATCTGAAGTAATGAGTTGCGTAATATACACATTTATTACTTGTCTTATCATTTCGATATATGGATTTTATTTCAAGAGCGAAGAAGAATCTACAAAGTATTTTATTGTATTGTTGAGTAGTATCTACTACTTGGCTAAAATTCTTATACCGGGAATAACTATGGAAAGACTAGGAATACTTTATAATAATAAAGTTCGTTTATATACTGCCATTCCAAATATTTTGTGTACATCTTTGGCGATATTCTGAGCATATTTGTCATTTCTCCAACTATATTTATTTCACTTGTGAATGTTGGAATCGATATTGCCAAACTTATTGTTAAATTCTATGGTTGAACCTCTATTGTATTCTTGCTGAAATAGGGACAAATAGGAAAAAAAATGCAATGTATTGACTGCTTTGTAATATGATTGATTGCTTTAATTAGCTTGATACAGTATGATGCAGACCGCACTTATTAAGAATTTTATTTCTGATATGCACGCTTAAAAAATCAAAATATCGTTTCGAAAATTTATCTGGGTAGTAGTAATCTATAGTACATTATTTGATCATCTCAGATTAAATCCGAAAGCAATATCAATAACTTTTTTTTCCAGGACCACGGCGGTCATGCAAATTTCTTGACATTTTTTTTAGACCTGAGGAGAGATATACTAATACCATACTTGTGTTTCAGAAAGCCGAAAATCTTATTTGTATCCATGCCAGACGAATATGAGAAAACGGAAGCGGAATGATGATGATGATTTTGATTACCTCTATGGTATTGTCACTACAGCTCAGGACTGGCATTTCCTGCTCTTCACATGAGGATGATCGCGGGATGGTCGCAGGGATAAACACAGGATTACGGGGTAAAGATCTATACTGAGTAAGCTTGAAAGGCACTGGGAAACAAGTCGGGTTAAAGTGAGGTTTGAGAATAGTTCAAGAACTTCTAGTGATTGTTACAGGACGTTCACATGTGTGGTTGAAAAAATCACTATTAAATACATAGTAAATTTTGATCATCAGCAGATGAATGGATAATGTAGAGTTGTACTCGGGTTGATGTGTAGGCAAATACTTATAAAAACATTCCATATCCCGCCATTTAAAAAATAATTTTTTCCAGGGTAGATAGCCTTTCGATTATTTGGAAAATAGTCGACTGGACCGATGCACAAACCTGTATCCTTATCAATGAGCGTAGAAATAGGAACGAAGAATAATCATAACTTGGGAAGGAATAAAGATGTATTTTGGGAAAGTATTGCGACTAGAATTAATGAAGAGCTTGGTTCTAATTCTTGGGACACTATTGTAAGGAAATATTCAGGAACCTTGTTCAGGATTATAATGTAAGTGTAAGTGTTAATAGTCCGCTTAAGCGCAGGCGATTCCTAAATCTCACTTTCCACATTACCTCCGATGACTAGGCGATGTGTGAATATATGAATGGAAGCCGAACAGTTCGAAGGAGCCGAACAGGAGCTAGATATTTTGATGAGTTTCGCACTCATTTTTGGGAAAAACCTGAAGATGCTTTCGATAGAATTCGTAACATGAGTATCTCCAATCGTAGACGAGGCAGAGGAATTGTTTCACCTGCACCTTCTATTGGGAAATATAGTACAAATTTGAAATATGATATTCACTAGCTAAAAAACACTATAAATCAATAAATTGTTATAATTTGTTTCAATTCGCTATAATTCACTAAATCACTAATTTATTAATAATTATGCCTGGTGAAACAGTTAAAATTATATTAGATAATATTTATAATAAATCTGTTCCTAAACCTATCAATCTCTGTCCCAGATATGATATGGAACATGTTTTTAACTATCAACCTCAAACTGGTAACTATCAGTATGAAAAAGTAGTTAAAATAGAAAAACAATACAATTATTTGTCTATAATCAGACCTCATGAAACACCCCAGCAATGGGCTTTTCGTATAAAGGATGCTCTGCAAGAGTTGCTTTCTAGAAGAGAATATAGTATTTATCATGTATTCTGCCTTTTCACATCATTTGGACAAGTAAAATCTACAACACACTATACTAATGGTGAGTTATATAGAACTTCTTTTGACTATCGTAAACCTAGTATCCATAAGAGTTAAATAGCTATCTACTTCAAATGCTGGAAATTAGTGAAGATTACTAATCTGATGAAGGATTATTGGAATTACTCATGCTTCAAGGTCAAGACCACAACTATAGCAAAAAATATTATAGCAAGTGCTTCAAATTTTGAGCCAGCTTGTATTCCATCAGCCAGGTAAGAAATGATTTCACTAACTTCTTATCAATCATCAAATTGTAAAAGTAATACAATTGAAATATTTATCTTATCTTTATATATAAAATAAAATAACTTATTAGGTCCCTTTGGGACCCTATCATCTATAATCCATCTTAATTAGTTTACATTAAGATTGAGAGATAAGACAAAAATCATGATTATTTAACCAGTTTAACTGTTAATTATAGACTAACTGAATATTAATATTATTTAGCCAAAGGCACAATGTATAACTTATTCTTTATTTTTTGCAAAATGAATAGCTATATAATCTGCATGCATGATCGCCTAGTATAATTGTAAAATGTATCACCTTCAGGATAAAAAATCTGATTTGCCTATTCTGGATTAAATCCTTCAATATACTGTATAACTATTTTAGTAAAGTATTTCAGGAAGGTCAATGAAGCGATCTTAGAATTCTTGATTCTTAAATACTACTATAATTATGACTTTGAAAATTTCTATGCAACAGTTATCTAGCGAGCTTACAAGAATTACAAGAAAAAGATCCAAATCTTTGGCAAAATAAGTTTAAAAGGCGGTGAGGAATGATGATACTCCTGATGATATAAAGTTTTTAGGTATAAAAAATAAATCAGAACAATCAGGTTATATTCGTTATAGAGATGAAGAATGTTATGCGTTGAATTTTTCAGATCAGTCTTTGATTCAGATCCCAAATATTGTCTTAATAAAATAATATACTGTTCAGCTATATAAAATACCTCAAGGTCAATATATGTAGAAGAATAGCGTGTGACATAAATAAAATATGTTTTTGATTCTTATTAAAGTATATATGATGTAATAAGTGATACTGTCATTAAAACAGCTATAAATTTGTACGACTGCTTGTATTACTAATTAATTTTTACACATAAGAAATTGAACTCTAAAATATTTTTCTATCTATCTGAATAGCATTTATTTATGAGTTTATTTCTTTCAGAGCATTGCGTTACTATAGGTTATTTCTACTAGATTCTGATCAGAGTATAATTATATAATGTTACTAGACCTTTATTACTAAGTGATTAAGTAAAAAAAAGTTTATATATGCATTACCCTTAATGCCTTTTTAAATATTGAGATTTATAATGTATATTCTGCATGTCTTACTTTTAAACATAAAATTTTAGCATAAAGTGCCTCTCCTATCTCTTTTTCTAACATAAATGTGAGTTAGAGAGAATATAATTGGAAAATACAAGACATTTAAAAAGGCAATATAGTGAAAAAGTATTGGAATCTACTGTACATTATTTTTTTTTACTTTGCTTAGCAAGCTTTATACTAAATATTAACTTTTTTATTCTATCAAAATATGGAAGAATTCCTTTTAATAAGAGAGCTTCTTAATATCATCAGAATTTTCATGATATTATTTATACAAGTAGAATAAGGTAAATGAACAAGCATTCTCAAAAAGGAGGTGAAGAATTTTGAGAATGTTTTGAAAAGAGTTTTAGAACAAGTCCCCTCAGAAGATATTGAGTGAAAAAAAAAACTTCAAATATTTGATACTGGGAAAAAATTAGCTAAATGGGTAAGGTGATAACTATTTTTATGATGAATATACAGTAGCTGATAAAAGAAACGTAACAACTGAGTTTAAATTTTAAAAGCTTATAATTCTCTAAATATAAATGCTAAAGTTATAATTTTATATTTATTATAATTCTCAGAATATATAGATTATTATATAAAAAAAATTTATTAAATTAATAATATCAATTTTTTTAAAATTGTTAATTTTGATCAAATTTTTATACTTAATAAAATTTTAATGTCAAAAGAAACGTAACAATGTAATACAAGTTATTGTAGATTATATTATTTATAGTTAAATTAATAAACTATATATAGTGTTACAAAATTATATCTATAAATACTTTATTTATACTATTTTACTGTGATATATTGCTAATTGTATAATATTTGCATCGTCTCATTTTCTTTTTTTTTTAATTTTTTTTTATTTTTAGCTTTTTCCTATTCAAAATGTTCAAAATGTTAATATTTAAATTTATAAACAATAAAATTTCAAAAATAGAGCTTCTCATATTTTTTTTTTTACAATATAGTTCATTTAAGTAAAAAACAAAAAGTACAAATTTATACTTATTAGACGAAAAAGTATATTTACAAACTGAACTTGCTAAAAGATACATGTTTTAGAAATACTATTTTTCAACTCCATGAAAAATATGAAAAAACAAAAAGTATTAAAAACTTACCAAGATCTGGCTGACTTCCTATTTTATCTAACTATGAAGAACGTCAGACAGTTCATTATATTATTAGTAGAGAATGTACAAATGCCATTTAAATTCAAAAAACTTCAAATAGATTATAACTTACAAATTCCTGATATTATAATACGATGAGTATTTAAAAAAAATAGATTTAAGTCAGCTGTTAAAGCCAAAAAAATATTATTATTAGACTAGCATAAAAAAGCACATTATAAATTTGTGAAAGATCATAAATATTGAAGTTATGATGATTAGTGTAAAATAATATAGTTAGATAAAAGTAAATTCAATCTTTTTGATTCAGACGGTAAAGAGTATTGTTGAAAGTAGGCTGGTAAACCTCTAAAAGATCATCACGTAAAGGGAATTGTAAAATTTGAAGGTAACAAAATATTTGTTTAGGGATATTTCACAGCTCATGGTATTAGATATTTATGCAAGATCAATGGTAGAATACAGAGGGTGATCACGGGTACCCGAACGATAAGTATTTTTTTGTTTATTCGCTTTGTTTATATGTTTACATATATTTCTAAATTAAGCATTTGTTTAGAATATAAATGGATGTCGATCACAATAATAACAAATAATTT